CCGGCGAGGAAGAACATCCTTCTCTCCTCCCTCCGTCACCTCCGTGGATTCGCCTCCAGCGCCAACCTTTACCGTCAACATCTCCGGCAGCAACAACAACAAACCGTCAAAGGTTTGGATAAATCAGAAACGCTGGCTCAGAAAATCGGTAAATCAATCCGGCGTGCCGGTGCGCCGTCCAAGGCTAGGGTTTACGCCGATGTCAACGTCGTTAAGCCTAAGGATTATTGGGACTACGAGTCCCTTGCTGTTCAATGGGGGTACCTACTTCAATTTCTAGATCTTTCTCTTTGGTTTTTGGTTTTCAGATTGGTCTGGATGAATTAAGGGGATTGCGGATTGTGAAATCAATGTGGAATGTTGATTTAGGGTTTCGTTTCCGCCAAATTTTATCCAGATACGGGTTCTTGTTAGATAAAATCTCGTGGAAATTTCTGAATTGATATTCTTTTGTGCATAATGCTGAATTGGTATCTTCTTGTGTCAAAAAAAATTATGGATCAATTTTTGCCTGTTATGATTTTGTGTACTATTCTTCTGTGTATCGGTTTTTGAGGTAGCTTCATTGATGCTGCAGTGTACAGGATGATTATGAGGTGGTGAGGAAGGTTGGAAGGGGAAAATACAGTGAGGTCTTTGAAGGCATTCATGCCACTAATAACGAGAAATGCGTTATCAAGATTTTGAAGCCTGTGAAGAAGAAGAAGGTTTGTAACAATAAGATTTCTGAATTAACAGTAGGTGTTATCTTCCTGGCCCTTCGCTTGGTTTGAATTTGTCTCTGACTTGTTTTGCTTCTCGTTGACGCAGATTAAGAGAGAGATTAAGATTCTGCAGAACCTTTGCGGTGGACCAAATATTGTCAAATTGCTTGACATTGTTAGAGATCAGCAGTCAAAGACGCCCAGCTTGATATTTGAACATGTGAACAATAAGGATTTTAAAGTCCTCTATCCAACTCTCTCAGACTATGATGTTCGATATTATATCTATGAACTTTTAAAGGTAAGTAATCTAGTTTCATGAATCCTAGACTGGGATTTCTTGTTTATAAAATTTTTTGATGCTCTGGCAAACGTAGTCTGTAGACTAATGTATACTTGTATCGTATCAGACACTGTTGTTACCTTATTTTGACTTTTAAATCCACAACTCTTTAGTTAAAACTGATTCGTTACAATTATATTTTTTTGCTTTTATAACATTTATGCAGGCGTTGGATTTCTGCCACTCACGTGGAATCATGCACAGAGATGTGAAACCGCATAATGTCATGATTGATCACGAGCAGCGGAAGCTTCGTTTAATTGACTGGGGTTTGGCAGAATTTTACCATCCTGGGAAAGAATACAATGTTCGTGTTGCTTCAAGGTAGTTCCTTTGTTTCTGTTCATAGAGAATCTAGATGAGACAATTGGGATGTAGAAGATTGCATGCACTGAGCTCTTGAGATTATAGAAGCTGAAACATATTATAGTACTTGATCTGGCTGATCTATAGGTCTAGCATTTACATTTTTATCTTTTCTCACTTCAAATTTGATGAGCAGGTACTTCAAAGGACCAGAGCTTCTGGTGGACTTACAGGACTACGATTATTCCTTAGACTTATGGAGTCTTGGGTGTATGCTTGCTGGAATGGTGAGCGTTTTAAGCTATTATTAATTTAACTTGGCTAAGTGGCTGTGTAGTGATAAGAATTTCGACTGTGCATTTTGGTTATTTTAACGCGCCTTAAGTTAGATAAATCCATATGTGAAAGAAACCAGATCCTCAACTTTAAAGATTTCAGAACCTTTATATTTCTTTTCTGGAGATACAGCGCAGTGATTGATTAATACTCCATTATCATATCTGATGCAGATATTCCGCAAGGAACCATTCTTTTATGGTCATGACAATTATGATCAGTTAGTCAAAATTGCCAAGGCAAGATTATCAAAGCTTTCATTTTCGAATCATCATGTCCTGTATCCACTGAACAGATTATGCAAGTACATACAA